TTTCGGTCTACAGCGATTTCGCTGGAACGAATTAACATCGTTAAGCGAGGCACCACTGTATTCTGTTATATACATACTTTTTAAAATAGGGCTGCTTTTTTGGTACTACTGATGCTTCTTTTAGAGATTATATTTTTAAAAATCATTTTATGTCATTTTACTACTGAGTTTTGTATCCTTATATGATGCTTCTTGTTTGCCACCCAGTGGCCTTGCCACTAGTTGGACGGGATAAAAAATTAATTATAAATATATTTATACAAATATATTTGTTTCTCGTTACGTGACAAAAAAAATCATCCAATTCCCAGATCGAGCTCCCAAGAGTGCCGTTTTTCTTGTCAGTTGCACTGATCAAAATTTCAGCATTGCAGTCAAGTAATTTTAAAAGAACTAGTCAAGTACTGCATATAACTTGCTAATCTGACATGTGACATTAACCAGCCATCATCATCATTACTATTTTGCAACAGCCTTTGGGTTCAGACTTTTATGTTTTCATCAGTTTTTATATCTTCCTGATTGATATATTCAATAGAATCCCAGCCATTACCAATACTGTGGGCTTGAGGTTTTGACTCTGGCTCCATGTTGCATTTTTGATCTTGTGCTTCCCAACACATCAGTAAACCCTGTCCCCTCCTGCCCTTCCCGTTTCTCCCTTCAATGTTCAGGAAATACACTAGAAGCTCGTGGTAAAGAATATCCACTATGACAAACAGAGCCAGCGCATGTATGCCCAAATTCATGCCTCCCAAACTAATGAGTACACAGGAGCAGAATATTAAAAAAAATTTATGGTCAGAACAAAACCAGAAATTAAACAGAAGCAATAATGATAGATTCACCCATACCTGATTTATGCATCTTCGCACTTATACTGTGTATATTTGTTCACACAAAGGTATAATCACATACATATACATATATACTACATACACATTGCATATTAGTGCAATGATGCATGAGTATATTTATACTTATTATCAGCGTGTCAGATGCAAACCTTACCTTTACTTTGTTTAGTAAAAGCAGCAGGTGAGATTCCAAAATCAGCCACTGTGACAGTAGAGAAGTCTACAGGGGGTGGTGTTTGGCAGGTTGATACTTCATAGTTAAGATCTGGTTCAGATTTCATTTTGACAGGTGTCAAATAGCTTGTGTCATCCAAGGTGGCAGGTTGATCCCCCGTCAGAGGGCTTCCTGCATGGCTCTGTTCTCCCCCTTTTGGGAATAAGAAAGTGTCTGTAGAAGTGTTTATATCTGAGGCACTTGAGCAGTAGCTTATTGTAGAACAATCCATCTTCTTTGTAAAACTGATGTTGTCTTCATGCCCAACAGAAAGGCTGCATTGCATACGAGAACATTCGGAGAATACTTTTGTATTATCTTGCTTTTCTGTTCGAAAGATGGTCACTTACCCAGGATTCTTATCTTTGTTCTGCCTTTAGTAGCAACACCACATTGCTGGAAAAATCTTAACAGAAAAGCAAGGTATTAGCTAAGACAACCAGAGGACTGTTAATTTAGAACTGATGATGAGAAACTTACAACTAGCTTTTCACTTGGTTGCTGGTACAAGGGGGTGCTGATAAGTATTGAGCCTTTCCCAGAAAAAAATTGAGCTAGGAAGCTGTAACTGCCACACTATTCTACATATTACCCCAGGAAGCCAATGCACTTGAGATATCTGTCCTAGGAAGCTGTAACTGCCACACTATTCGATATATTACCCCAGCTTAAGTCCCTGCAAATAAAATTATTCTGACTGCTGGTGGAACCACTCATTTGCAGCATTACTTACCTCCAGAACAGTCCCAAAGCATTGTCCCTTTAGGTGTTTTTTTGAGTTTGGGGAACAGATAATAGTCAGTAGCCGATCAGGAGAATAAGGTGGATGGGGCATTATCTGAAAGCCTAAGGGCATCAGTTTTGCCATTGTTTCACCTGCAGTGTGTGATGAGGCATTGTCATGCAACAGGACGACACATTTGGAGAGCTTTCCTCAACACAACAGGATGACACCTTTGGAGAGCTTTCCTCGACATTCTTCCTTGAAGTTTTGCCTCAACTTCCTCAATAAATCAAAGTGATATTTTGCACTTGATGTTTTGCCTCAACTTCGTCAATAAATCAAAGTGATATTTTGCATTGATGGTTGAGCCCTGTTGGAGGTCATCCACCAGCAGAACTCCCTTCTTATCCCAAAAAACTGTTGCCATTTGCTTCTGCACCAACCTTTGCACTCCGAACGTCTTTGGCCTAAGGGAACCACTGTGCTTCCATTCCTTAGACTGTTCCTTTGTCTCAGGATCATAACAGTAGTTCCTTTGTCTCATCACCAGTTACCAGTTTGCCCAGGAAATCTGTCTCATTTCTGCAAAATATTCCAAAACAGCCACTGATAAAGTTTGGGGATCCACTTTGCTGCCAGCTTTCTCATCTCCAAGTCGTTGTGGATAATGGCACCAACTCTCTCACGTGATATTCTCAGATATATAGCAATACTTTTGGCTGATATTCAGTGGTCCTCCATGATCATGTCATGGATGGCTTTCACATTTGCAGGCACAGAAACAGGCTTTCCACTGGGTTTCTCACTTTCAACACTGAAATGGCTTGTTTAAAAATTAGCAACCCAACGTGTAACTGGTGCATATGAAGGGCCACTGTCTCCCATAGTTTGTGACATTTCATCATGGATCTACTTTACACCATTCCCTTGGAGAAACAGGAACTTGATTATGGTTCTATGCTCTTCCACACTGAACTTTTCTGGAGGTGCCGCCATGTTCACTTTGGACTGGAAAATGAAAGTTAAAATCATAGGTAGCTGATTTTTGCATCATTGAATATAGACAAATTGGCCAATACATCCTGCAATTTATAGCTTCATAGTTCAATTTTTTCTGGGAAAGGCTCAGTACGTTCTTGTCAGCAGCCCCTTGTACAGCAGACAATCTACTGCCAGGAAAGGCTCAGTACTTATCAGCACCCCCTGGTACAGCAGACAATCTACGGCCAACTCAGTCATGTTTGGATTTTTCAAACCAGGCCAGTTTACAATATACAGTACCATCAAATCCCACACGATTATGGGTTTGCAATTTCTACTCTTTGGAAGGATGGGACAACCAGAGAAGGCGGTTGTCCCAACCAGAGAACCATAAGGATTCTTAGCAAAACCAGCGATTAGAGTAAGCCAGAGGGATGAGACGCAGAGCACAGCCACGATCCTGAGTATTTGGCCTCCTTGGAAGCAAAGCCCCCTAAAACGAACGATACTTTTCTTCCAAGGAGAGGGAGACCTCATGGCAATGAAAACTTTCCAGGGAGTAACCATCACCGGATCAGAGTGGAAGTTATTTAGTAACTTCTGTTTGGGTTAGTTGGGAGGAGGGACACGAACCCCCAAGACTTTAAAATATCTGCAATCCTAAACCAAAAAAACAAGGGATCCGCTGAATTCCTCCTTCAAAGGGAACCTACTTAGGGAGAAGGGGCGGTTGGAAAGATTTTTAGAACCGGGCCCCTCCAGATGCTGCTAGACTACAACTCCCAGCAGATCCGCCAAAGGCAAGGGATGATGGGGTTTGTAGTCCACCAGCCTGTTCTCACCCCGTTCGATCTATCCCAGCGGAAAGCGAAGCGCGCACACCCCGTCCACAGGCACACGTTCACTTCGGATTACGGGTCACGTTGACCAAGGGGCCCTTGCCCTTCCATCATCCTCCCCCCCTCAAGACCTGGTTCTCCCGCGACGCAAATCCCACCTCGCCACTTCGGCGCTCCAGCGCCCTGTGGCGGCCGCTCGCCGTTCTCGCGCTCTCCATTCAAATGTGACGCTTCGCTCCCCCCCTCCTCGCCTGTATCCCTCCGCCTTCCGTCACAACGCCGTTCTTTTTCTCTTCAAACCCGACCCCACGTCGGGCCTTAACCTCCGCTTTAACCCATCCTGACCGGGATGACCGCTTTCCCCCCTCATCCGACGCAGAAGAACGCTTTCCCAACTCAGGGACTACTTTCTCTCGTCCCCTTGCAACGAGTTCCGGAAGCGCGGAGAGAGGAGTGACGTCAGAAACGTTGGAATAAAAAAACCGCACGTGACACGAACTCCGCCTTCCTTTTCCAAGGCGGAAAAAAAAAAAGGAACGCACCTACGCGCCCCGCCCATCTTTTTCCGCCCCGCCCACCGAAGCCCCTTTGCCTTGATAGGCTCCCAGGCCAGACCCCGCCCCGCCCAGCTCCGAGAAGGAAAAGCGTTCCAAACGGAGGCCTTATTAGGAAATCCAAAAGCCCGCCTATCCCTTCGAGCTTAATTCTCATTGGCCGTGGAGGATACAAAGGGGGTGGGGAAAAAAGGAGGGTGGCGTTTGATTGGCCGAGGGCGAAGTCAGGTGAAGGAGCTCGCCTTCCGGGTTTGTAGCCAGGCTGGCAAGAAGTCAGAGGAGCGGCTTCGGGCGCATCCCTACCTCGGAAGGGGAAGGCATGAAGAGAGTCACCCTCTTCGTTAATGGCAGCCCCAGGAATGGGAAGGTGAGTGGAAGAAGCGGGGGGAGGGGGGACTGAGACTCAAAGGCAAGCTCATGCTTTTTTTTAATTATTATTATTATTCTCATTATTGTTCTCTGTCAATCTGGGTTTTTTTCCTTTTTAAAAAACTTATTCGTTGCCTTTCTATCCCGCCTCTGTTCATGGCTCTTTCTCCTCACAACAGCCCTGCGAGGTAGGTCTAAGCTTTGTGAGCAGGAGAGCCTGAGGTCACTTAGGGAGGATTTGAACTCTGCTCCCCCAGATGCTGGCCAGACCAGTGATATATCTGGGAGCCCCATTTGTTTCGGTCGCAGAGACACGTCCAGGATTGTGCTTTTAATATTTATTTTTTAGGAATGCTGCCAGAACAGTTTATGGATAAGTGGGAGAAGGTTTTCTAAAGACTAGGATTACTTACTGGGTGTGTCTGAGCTCAAGGCAATCTGGATTGGGACCCTGTAAAGTTTTTCTTTTCTATGCATGACTTGACTAGAAATTACATACATATAAATATTATTCCTGGCCGCAGACCTTTACAATATTGGCTAGAAATTGCTTAGGCTAGGTATACTGTATTGTATGGGTATACTGTGTATATACTTACAATGACAATAAATGAATAAATAAATATAATGAGTGGTGAAATACAATGGAGTTAACTCTCATCAAGAAATTAAGGAGAAAGCCATTGATAGGTTGATGCTTGAAAAGGCATGCGATTTATCGGTAAGTTATGTTTCTATCTAGTCTTTCCTTTAAGGAATTCAAAACCACTTGTCTGTACTTCCTATGTTTTGTCTCATAACATCCTTGTGATGATAGTCATCGTCATCTTAGAACTGCAGAGCTAGAAGGGACCCCGTGGGTTATGGAGTCCAACCCCTGTCAAGGAAGCACGGTGGGGAATTCGAACTCCCAGCCTCTGGTTCTGGGTGCGTAAATCACAGAGCTGTCTAGTTGTTCCTTGAGGTATTGTCGTTTAGGCTCAGAGAGAATGACTAGTCCAGAATCATGCAATGAGCTTTATGGCTTAGTGCCGATTTGAACCCAGGTTTTCCACTCCGAAGCCCATGCTCTAACCACCACATCTGATCTGAGTAGGTCTGATTTCGGCAACAGTGGGCTGTGGATAGTAATATGGTCCAGAAAGTGGCCTTGAAGCACGTGATGATGTTCATGTGCCGGTGGATTGTTAGGGAGCCAAGAAAGCAGGTTGTCCTTGAATAATACCTGAAGGGGCAAGTTTTGCACTGAATGCTTATTCGAGCATTTGGTCTTTCTGGGTACGGATCGGGAACATTGTCCTTTTTTTGTCCACTTCTGTGGCTGCCTTGTCCGTAGGGGCTGACTTTTGTATCTCATCTGATGCTGCAATCTGCTTGTGCAAATTTAAACAGTGACTTTTCCAAGGTTTAAAATCATAGGGTGTGCTTCCATAGATAAAACAGCCTGTCCTGTTCAGAAATTTGCTGTCCCCACATACATTCCCCTGTATGTTTATTATGCTCCAGATTATAGCTTCTGATTATGTATAGACAGAAGAATTCACATTTACCGGTAATTCTTTTCTAATATGTTATGGTGGTCCTTGGTGCGTTATATTGAACCATATGTCTGGGAGGAGAACCATGTCAACTAAAACTTCTGTTTGTTGCATCAGGAGGTGCTAAGCATTGATATCAAGCACATTAATGCATTTCCCATGATTTTAGAAAAGTGCATGAGAGAGCTGATCCAGGGTTTTAAAATTTCTATGTATGCCTTTCCTTTTCTACACTGAATTCTTTTCTCCATGATTTGGTCCTCACGGGGGGTGGGGGGGGGAGAGGTTGGGCTGAGAGACAGTAAGAGGCCCAAAGAGCACTTATTAGTGAGTTTCATGGTTTGATCTCCTACGTCCCAGTCCAAAACTTTAATGCTGGGAGGAATGGTTTAACCTTTGGCCTTGTGTTGTGATCCTGATCAGAATCAGCTCTTCATTGCTGCATTTTGCCCCCGAAGGAAATGGTGGTAGAAAGGACCACAAGGTGGGAGGAGAAGATCAGACCCTTACCTGCATGTTTTGGTCCCTTCCTGGCTGCAAATGTAAAAGATGGCTGCAAATTCCTGGCTGCAAATTTAAAAGATGGCCTAGAGGTGGGCACGGACTGCTGATTTGGTGGTTTGTGCTGGTTCATTTATCAGCCAAACAGGTGTTTGGTGCTTCAAAGCCCTGCCTCCTCCAGCGGGCGCCCCTTCAGAGGCAGCACACAGAGGAGGCAGGGAACGACGACAGGCCACAAGCGTGAACTGGCATGAACCACTGAACTGTCCATTCGGACCATCTCCAGAGGCAACGCCACCCAACAATTTCCTGTTATGTCATTCTAAATAGTATGTTCCACAGTAATAAGGGATTTGATTTGGGTCAGGATAGTGAGGGGATTGTGATGAGGTATTTAAGTGGCTTTATTTTTGCCATCCAATATTACAGCTTCCTAAATATCCTCCATTGAGCATTTTGGTAGACAGTAGCCAGGTACCAATGGGGCCTATAAAGAAATGATCCTGATTTGCAGAAGGTACACTGCTACATGATTGTTCAGAGTGCTTCCAATCAGCCATATCCCCTTTCTGTATCTGATCCAGTAGTTCTCAGCATTTGCTTACTTGGTGGTGGTGGGTCACAATCCCTAACCATTGCCATATTTCTGGGGCTTGCAGTCAAAAACATCTGGAGACCCAACGTTGGGAACCACTTTTATAAACAATAAAGAGCTTGCACAAGGTACAAGTTCTGCTTTCCTTGCCCAAGTGACACTTGGAAAAGAAAAATGGAGAGGGAACATCCTCAACCATTGATGTTCTGTTTTCTGGATTGACTTTGCTGGTAATCTTTTCTTCAAGTTACTTTGGAGATCTTCATTCCTTGGAGTTTCCTGCAGGGTGCAGATCTTCCTCTTCTTTCTCAACTGCCCGCATTAGGGCTTGGTTTCCGTTGGCATTTGCTTCTGAAGTTGGAGCTGAAGGGGCCAAACTATACATGATTTGAGCTATCCCTTTGTACGTATCTGAGAAATCAGGGTTGCAAAAACTACCTATGCCGACACTTGGTGTTCAGAAGATCAGTCCCAAAGCAAGGCATGCTAATTTATTAATTATGGGAAGGATTAAAGAGCTCCTGCTGTTATAGTAAACCTCCATTACCCCGTGTCTAAATCACACTGGCCATGTGACCACGGAAAGATTGTCTTCGGACAAAACGCTGGCTCTATGGCTTGAAGAGCGGGATGAGCGCCGCCCCCTAGAGTCGGACATGACTGGACAAAAATTGTCAAGGGGAACCTTTACCTTTAAAGAGCTCCTGCTGTTACAGTAAAGCTCCATTACTATTCAAGGAAATCCTTTTCCTAATGATATATTCACTGTAATTTATATCTTGACCCTTAGAGAGAAAACTCAAGTTGTCTTCTTGACAGCTAACGCTTTTGCATATTTCTATAGCATTCAAATGTTTTATTTGAAAAGAACTTGCATTTGCCCCGCAGACTTTGTAAAGTTTGGAAGCCTTTTGAAATGCATGGAATGTTCTTCCTGTTTTGTTGGGAGTAAGCAAAGCATGATGTGATGCCTCAGTCCATTTCAGAGCAAATATAAAGTCACCTTCACATAGATAATAATGCAAACTGTGCAGTGTTCTTTTTCGGGCAACGCAGCAGATGTGAATTAATGACTGCATCATGTTTATCGGTCCATTTTGAGCCACATGGTCTTCAACAAAGATCAAGCTGACAAGGACCTCTGTCAGCACTTAGCTGTATATGCTTGGATATTTGTGCTGATTTGTGTAAATCACTGCTTTATTGCTTTATGTTGCATCTGGAGATGGACAGCTTTATGGGAGTGGGAGCAAACCCTGTCTCACCCTTGAATTCGGTGTGTGTGTGTGTGTGTGAACAATTTCACCAGTACTACCACCATCCAGAACTGTGCTTCCCGCAGCCAGGTGGGATCATGTGTTGGGAAAGAATGAATGAATGTATCAACAGAACTGTAGGGGGGAGCAATGGGATTTACTTTAATGAGGGGGACTTCTGATAGACATTGATTATCTACTCATAATCCATAGTTGTGCTCTGAGCAAATCATGAGAGGACATAATTCTGTGGGAAAAGCAATAATACTGGGGAAGGCTGAAGGCAGCAGGAAAAAAAAGTGTGTCTTATGGTGCGAAAAAACGGTAATTCTGTGGGAAAAGCAATAATACTGGGGAAGGCTGAAGGCAGCAGGAAAAGAAGAAGATGGATTGACTCGCTGAACCACAGGCTTGGGAAAAGCAATAATACTGGGGAAGGTTGAAGGCAGCAGGAAAAGAAGAAGCTGGATTGACTCGCTGAAGGAAGCCACAGGCTTGAGATTACAAGGGCTGGGCTGTTGAGGACAGGACAGTTTGGAGCACATTCATTCGTAGAGATGCGTAGGTTGAAGGCAACTTGACGCCTTGTAACGGCAACTAATCTACTTCTTCAGTCCCATGTGTTCCATTATTGTTGTCCGGACTGGTTTGGAGCACATTCATTCGTAGAGATGCGCAGGTTGAAAGGCAACTTGATGCCTTGTAACGGCAACTAATCTGTAGTTCTTCAGTACTGTGTGTTCCATTATTGTTGTTCAGATTCTAGTGCAATGAAGAGAGGCAGGAATAGAAGACTGTCTCACTCTTAAAGCAAATGATCAATAAATCAGAAAGCCAAGGTGAGGAAGCTGTCACCCTGCAGGTGGCGTTGGACTCCAGGTCTTATAATTCCTTATAATTAGCCACGCTAGCTCAGACTGATGGAAGCTGGAGTCCAGCAACATCTGGAAACCTACCAGTTCTCAGCCCTGTTATAGGAGGTGTTCCATCAGCTCGTGATACACCCGTCAGCGGGACTGAGCATGGAGGAATTCTGTGGCACGCCAGCCGTGGCGAGGAGCTGCAATTTGAAAAGAAGACAGAAGTTGAGTTTGATTTCTATTTATACTTTTATTTTAAAGAATATTATTTTGCCCTCCAGCATGGCATCCTTGCAGTAATTAAACTTCTGTGTACGGTATAGTGATTCCCAATGTGGTGTAGCGGACAGACTCTGGAGAACAGGTTTCGAATCCCCACTCAACCATGGAAACTGACTGGAGAAGTGGAACAGTTAAAACTACTCCTTAAATATCCCACTTGGAAGACTTATTAGGGTCACTCTAGGTTGGTTTGAACTTGGCGGTGCGGCGCAATGCGTATGCGCGCGTACACACACACACAGAGTAATAGATAACAGTCTGTATTTATTAGAATATTTAGATCCCAGCCTGTATCTAGAGATTTCAGAGTGAACTACTAATGGTCAGGATGACTTAAATTAGTAAGAAGACCATCCAGACAATTTTGAACAATTCAACAGGATAAACATGACAGAAGGCAAAAAGCCATGACTGACTGTCTGTTTCTTTATTTCCTCATCAATCTAATCATCTTGCAGTTGTATTCATACGTATATCTTAAGAGTTCTCTACAACGGAAGGCAGTTTCACATTGTATGTATCGGCTGAATTCATAACTCTTGGATTGGATGTTTCTGGAATGTAGTAAACATGGGTGTGCACCTCCTGTCATTTGCATTTTATGTGGCTTAATTACTGCTGTGGGGTTATTGAACCAGCGTGGAGATGAGCGCTGTGAGTCATACACAAGGGAAGGCTCATGTTTTAAAACAACTCTCTGGGAAACTTAAATACCAGGAAGTCAGACTCCACAAGTGGAAAGTTTTTGCTAATGTTGCTGAAGACCTTTTATCTAGGCAGGCTTGTGTTAGAACATGGTGAAAGAAATGATGACACAGAGTTTGTTGAAATGTCTCCCCTCTGCCAGGAGCTGGTGGTTATGTTAAAATGGTCAGCCTGTACGTTCCTATGGCCTGACACCAATTTAGCTCAGAATTATCTGCACCACTTTCCCCTATTGTGACTATTTTCTTCTGTTTGGAACTGCCACGTCCACTAATGCCAGTCAGCCCAGGGACATTTGTCTCAAATATTCGAAGGGCACCATGTTGGGAAAGACACACCCGAGAGCCAGTGTTGTGTAGTAGTTAAGATGATGGAATCTGGTTCATCTTGGTTTCCACTATGCTATCATGATGACTTTCACACTCTTGGCCTGATTCCCAACTCAAAAGTTGCTTCTTTAAAAAAAAAAAGGATAAAGAAGGAGGGTGGTCATTGACTGAGCTATCTAGATGCAAGGCAGGATAGGATATACCGTAAGTGATTATGGTAAATAATAGCAAGGTTCTAGAGATGCATCCTTTCTATGGTTGGTGATGGACAGTCTTTTCCTTTGAAGCATTGATGGAGGAGGTAAATGTAAAATGCCACACAATGGTGCCTCGCTAGACAATGATAATCCGTTCCACTGAAATCGCTGTTTAGCGAAATCATTGTCTAGTGAAAAGCATTTCCCCATTGGAATGCATTGAAACCTGTTTAATGTGTTCCAATGGGGAAGAATCGTAGTTTTCTAGCGAAGATTGGCCATAGGAAAGCCGCTTAGCGAACCGCCAATCAGCTGTTTAAATCGCTGTCTTGTGAAGCTTAGGTCCCAAAAACACCTGCTTTGTGAGGGTGGAGGGAGCTGTCAAGATCCTCGTCTAGCAAAAATCGGTTTGCGACGCAGGGATCAAACACTCCAGCGAAATTCCCCCATAGGAATCACTTTTGCGAATCACTATAGCAATCGCAAAAAGTCAATGTATAGCAAAAAAAACGGTCATGCGGGGTAACTGTCTAGCGAGGCACCACTGTACTTAGTTGTTATTGATTAAAGACAGGATGAAAACATACAGATTTAAATCCCTTAATGTCATGCTAAGAGGGCATTGGAAAGAAATCTGGAAACCTTTCTGATAGAAAACCTCAGCTACTTGTCCATTCATGCTGGGGTTGTCTGTGCTCAAAGAAGCCAGGGCTGAGCACAGATGCTCTTCCTGGTCCTGTTTCTTCTCACACTTTTGACAGCTGGCAGGGCTTAGATGAGGAACAGGTTGTGGAAAGTTTAGAAAACCATAAATAATGAGATGAGTAGCAAAAAATGTTCCTCCCCCCCCTTCATGCCTTGGAAAACCATACACCTGTTGATTCCTGCTGTTGTAATTTTTTTTAAAAAGATGGATCCTTTTTCACTTAGGATGAAATCTTTGTTTGTAGCCTGTACGTTGTTTTGGGGCCCAAAATACTTTTTTTTTTAAAAAAAAGTAAGCAGAAGTGACCTCGAAATCTATAATCCAAAAAAAAAGTGGTTGTGAAAAGGGGGGGAAAGTGCAAAAATCAATTGTAGGAAAACTAGCTGATGCTGCATCATAGGCCCACAGAGTACCCTTTCTTTTTATAGGTTGTGGCTGTTTATGGGACACTGTCTGACTTGCTCTCGGTAGCAAGTAGTAAGCTTGGAATCAAAGCAACCTACGTCTACAACGGAAGAGGTGGCCTTATTGATGACATTGCTCTGATCAGGTAAGAGATGTGTCGTTTTATTCTTGCTTTACACAAACTCTCTTGCACCAACCAAAGAGGCCGATGCTCTTGAAAAGGGAAGCTGCTGATTGACAAATGCCCAACTTTTAGTGGAATAGAGCAGGATCCCATATCTGTGGGATCGGTAGCTGTGGTTGCACTTACTATGATCTGAAAATATTAAAAGAAAAAAAAGACAGAACTATACATTTTTGCTATGCAGTTACCGGAACAGGCCACTAGAGGGGACCATAGATCATACTATGTATGGGGTTTCCAATCTTATACAGATTATTTTTTGGCGGGGGGGGGAATGTCTCCTGTTGTATGTTGTGTGCTCAAAGCATTTTAGAATTCAAAACCAAGCCACACTTTCATTTTGGCAAAGGTGTGTGTACGGCCATTTGATCTTGTACTGTATCTCCTAGCCCGACACAGCCTTTGGAGGACAACGCTTGGTTTAACCCAGACTTGGGGCAAGAATCCCATCTTACATTTTGCAAGATACCCTTCTCAGGGTATGTTAACTGATCTAAAAAAAAAAAGAGTCAGGTTTTGGGAGAATCCCATCTTGGGGCAAGAATCCCATCTTGCATTTTCACTCTCTTCCATGTCCTGCAATGTCCCAAAAGAGCAAATCACGATTGCCTTAAACAGCCAGCCACAAAGCCACTTCAAGCCATTGTTTTTGGTTCTGGTTTGGAAGTGAGCCAGATTTATTAGAGACTGCAGTTGCAGTTATTAATGTGAATGCTAATTTATAGCTTAAGGATTCAGTAGAATCACAGAATATCTGAGTCGGAAGGGGCCTCTAAGGCCATCGAGTCCAACCCATTGCTCAGTGCAGGAATCCAAATCAAAGCAGATGTGACAAATGGCTCTCCGATTTTCTCTTGAATGACTCCAATGCTGGAGCGCTCACCAACTCCCGAAATCATGGGTCCCATTGTCATACTTCTCTAACAGTTGAGAAGTTTTTCCTGATATTCAGCCTAAATCTTACTTCCTGTAGCTTGAGTCCATTATTATGTGTCCTGAACTCTGGGATGTTGGAGAACAGAACCTGCCCCTCCTCTGTATGATTACCTCTCAAGTATTTTTTTTAAAAAATGCTATCTGATCTCAATCTTCTTTTCTCAAGACTAAACATGCCCAGTTCTTTCCGTCTTTCCTCAGAGGGCTGTCCTCGGAAGGGGACAGTACATGCCTACATCACATCAGCTTGTGTCCAGGCAACATATTTTATGAACATTTTCAGCTAGGCAAGAGTTTCATGCGCAGTCTGCTGTAAACGGAGAGCAAATATTTTTATACCCTGTCCACCATGAAGGGAGAACAGGTTGTCCCATTTGACATTGTGCATTCTCTCTGAGTTTCTGTTAAAGGTTCTGTTGAAGCTGGAATGAATTTGTTGGGAGAGCATTATCTCAAGAAAATCCTCCTATCTTGGACTTGTTCCCAAATCATCAAATCTGGTTTGAACTCTTTCCCAGTATTCCCAGCAGACAGTGCTTTAGTGTTTAAAGTTCCTGGATGAAAAGCAGATGTGAAAGTACTAGATTTTTAGAAACTGGATACCTAAAATTCACCTAATTGATTTTACCTCGACAGGATCTTTAGATGTTAGAAGTGAGTGTAAAAGAACAGATTTTCTAAGAAGTGGTTTCAAAATTTAGCCTTTCTCTCTGCAGAAAAATAAAAAACCTGGGAGAGACATTTGCTTTCTCGTGTCTGTGTGATTTCCTACAAATGGTTAAATGCTATTAGGTTTGTGCAGCGTATGCCCAATATCGTATAACTTTGTGTGTGTGATCGTTCCAGCTGGCTGTTGTGTGCTCAGATATTTGTAGGTCATGCACTCCTGGGCAGGCAACAGTCAGCCAGAAAATTGAAAAACCTGCTTGTACTATATCTTTGCATGCACAGTATTTCACTGTAGGATTCTAGCAAATGTGCTCGTTAGAGCAACTCTGATATATGGGCTATTAGCAATGGCTTGTACCTGCACACATGACTTATTACATGACTGGATGTGCCCATACAGTTTGTGTTTGAAGCCAGAAGTCATGTCTTATAAGGAGGAAACTATTTCAAACACGCACAGCTTGTGAATGGGAACGATGTCCTGAACTTAAGCGAAAGTGACTCCAGTAAGATTGTGCAGTTGGAACTGGATGATTTACTTTCAAGAACTGTTGACCACATTATGGCAATTCACAGAATTAAGCCTTTCTAGGATACCTAGTGTTGCATAGTGGGAATAGATGAATGGACTGGACTCTGGAGACCAGGGTTCAAATCCCCACCCAGCCATGGAAACTCACCTGGGGGTGTGGAGCTGGTAAAATGTCTCACTCCTTAAATATCCTACCTTGAAAGCCCTATTAGGGCCAGTATAAGTCAGTTCTGACTTGAAGGTACATAACAATAGTAGAGATGGGCAAGAACCGGTTCGTGCTGGTTCATTTAGCGGCTGAACAGGTGTTCAGTACTTCAAAGCCCTGCCTCCTCCAGCAGGCACCCAATCAGAGGCAGCAGCTTGGCCTCCCTGCCCCGCCTCCTCTGGGCACTGCCTCTGAGTGGGCACCTGCTGGAGGAGGCGGGGCTTTGAAATCCCAAACACCTTTCGGACCACTGAATGAACCAGGATGAACTGCCGAACCGGACCATCTCCAAACAATAGCCCTCCCTAGGGCTGTACCGCAAAAAGAAGGTTCTGGAAGTGTTACAGTATTCTCCCAGGGTGGATTTGATACAAATAACAATTTAAATGTTAAAAATTGGGGTTTTTTTATCATTTAACTTTTTTAAAAATTCATTTTTTAATTTAAATCAGTTTGATTGTAAAAAAAGGCCATTGATTTTTATCCACCCTGCTTCTCTTTGGTATGCTAGCTTTCAGTCGAGAGAGAGAGAGAGAGAGAGAGAGAGATTTCAGGTGTGCTGTATTCTGGTTATGTTCTACAGGAACACAGGCTTACTGACAGCTCGAAAAAGTTATATATATATATATATTTATGGCCCCATTCGGAGTCACTTTCTGAGAGCTGTAATTCAGAAAAACTGACTTTCAGAGCTTCTGCCTTTACCATGTAATTTTACTATTCTCCAAAGCAATTAACCTGAGGCGGTTGCATTGATTTCGTGTCCTTAATTTAGAGATTGAAATTAAGCAGGTGGTTCTTGGTACCTCTTTGTGCATGAAAACAGTTGCCTCTCTGTCCTTTGCCTTGATACAGGGATGATGATGTCCTTTTTGTATGTGAAGGGGAACCATTTATTGGTAAGCATCTGGAGTTTTTTTTTCTGTTTACATTCCCAAACTGTTACAAAGTGTATTTTCAATTTATCACTAAGGTTGCTTATGTTTATTGTGTATCACAGTGTTGAGGGTCATGATGTAGTACAGTGTTTCCTTTATTGGGTAGGTTACAAGAGAAAATAATAATAATTCATAATAATTGGGGTATGAATCATAAAGCTTATTTAAGTAAAAAAAAAAATCAGGACAGATGTTGAACCTGGAAGCCTGAGAAATATTCAGGAAGTTATGCAGTTTATAAAAGACGTAACAGTGATTTTATTGCAGTGTATTAGGCAAAACTCAATGAAAAATAAGAAAAGGCATTAAAGACTGACTGACTGTTATATTTTAATGTGAGCTTTTGTGGACTATGTGACCTGCTTTTTGTATTACTATTTTATGCAATACTGACACACACTGGTGTACAAACAGTATGTAGTTCAGAAAAAAAAATACACATTAGTCTAATCTTAACAGTTTCCATTGTAATAAAACCTCCACAGAGTTTTAATCAGGTGATTTTTTTCCTCCCACTTATTTATAATTTACACTGCTGTTTTCTGCTATTTACAGATCCCCAGGCTGACATAAACCTTCCAGATCCATTGTCAGGATCTCATTCAGACTGGATCACGCTCAATGTTGGAGGGCGGTACTTCACAACTACCCGGTAAGAATGTGGTGCCTTGTTCTAAAACTCTTTTTATTTTTACAAATCGCTTAACTCATGGAGATAATAGGTCCAAAAATGAACTAACGTTCTAGAAAATTAGGTTGGCCGTCCAGCTAAAATGCAGTTTCAGCGTTGTACACAGTACCTCGGCCTCGTATCCTCTCGAGTGCATTTGCTCTTTCTTTTGAAGAAGAAAACAAAACAAAAAAGAATGTTTTTTTAATGTTTTTTATGGATACATAAAATTAAACCTTAAATTTAATAACCCAAAATATAAACTGACACAACAGTTCTGCAAATATAATTAGAACCTATAAGTGTTTGTGTGTTTAAATGTGCGCACACATGACACACACTGCATGCCAGTTTAAGTTGAGTTTTTAAACTTTTAACTGTTTTTAATCAGCCGTTTTATGTTACTATAGTTTAATTGTCTTTTAATGTATAATTTATTGTGGTTTTCATTTGACTTTTTTAACACTGTGAACCGCCTTGAGTCCCCTTATCAGGAGAAAGGCAGCCTATGAATAAGACAAATAAATAAGTAAATAAAGCACAGTCTTTAACTTACTCATTAATGCCTCTGTATGTCTCTCCTAGGAGCACTTTAGTTAGCAAAGAACCTGATAGCATGTTGGCTCGTATGTTTAAAGATAAAGGTCAGTATGGACTGAAATTTGAATCCTTTCCCTGCTGACATATATGATCAGGGTACTTCTTCCAAAGTTAACTGTAACAAAAGGTGGATGACATAAGTCAGTGTTTCCCAACCCGGGGGTCATTACTGCTTATCATCAGAGTCTAAAAGTGCACAGTCGCTGCCTTTTTCCATTTTTTATTCCTGCCACAACTGTGTGAGGTTCACCTCCCAAGCATTCTAGGATGTATTAATACTTTTTTGCCATGCAACCAGAAGGGTTTGAAGTATTTGATCTGCATTATGTTTTACATCACAAAGGATATTTGTTCTTATCTGTTGGAAGTCTGAGCACAGAATAGAGCTGATGTTTCTATGTTTGCAAGGAGGATGCTTGTCTACAAGGGGATTTAATTTATTGCCCCCCTTTTTTCTGGGCTCTTCAGTCGCTGCAGCTCCTTTCCCCATACAGTTCTAAAAATCCATTAACCACCCTGTCCATTCCTGAACTTGAAAAGCCAGTGTCCCTCCAGGTGTTGCATTTTGTAATCCATAAGGACATGCCTTCTTGTTTGGTTTAGATAATCATAAATTTTCTACTCCCAATTCCATGTGGAAGACGAGGAGAAACTGAATTTAGTTCTAAGCCATGGTTTCTCGTTACATGTGAACTCAGGGAAACCGTGGTTTGTTCAAACTAAGTTAGACAAGCTAAGTTGAAGCACACTCAAAGGAGAAGGGATGGTACAGCAGGACCTCTGTAATTGCAGGATCTGTACCCATGGTTTTACTTATCTGCTGCTTGAAATTATTAAATTAAAAGACTCAGAGATATGCATTTCCATGGTGTATTACCAGTGCTGGACACCAAAAGGAACCAGAGACTATGTCACATATGGGCTTTCTCTATCCGTACTTTCTGGCATTCGCGGGGGTGGTGGTGGCTTGGAAAAGATCCCCTGTGGATATCGATGTCTTACTGTATTTTGCAACTCTGGAGCTTACAGTGGTTAATTTGTAATTATTGGAACCATAACTTGGCTCAGTTAACTTTTTTGGGCTACAAGCCCTGAGACCACATAGCTAGAAGCTTGATTCCAAGAAGCCAGGTTTTTCAAGATCTGTTCTGGATGACCTGATGTTTTTTCCTAGTTTTTCCTGCTGACTCTCCTTCTAAAGCAGGGGTGAGACCTTTGGTTCCCCAGCTGTTTTGGCCTATTGCCCCCACATTCCCTTACCATGTGCCATACTGGTTACACCTGATGAAGTTGCCAGCCAACATAGCTGGAGAGACCCATATTTCCTGCTACTTTACCAACCGAATAGCCCAGAACTTGAATTTCTTGATGAAAGATCAACACTGTCATCCGTGTCCCCTTAAATTCCTGTTTTAAATAAAAGGCTGAGCTAAACAGTCCAATACTGTTTATCTTTGGCTTGCTTGCTTTTTTGCTCTTTGTTTTTCTTCCTTACTTTCCTTCTTTTGTCCAGAACCGTAAGGAAGAGTTCTTAAATTGCTCTCTTCTATCTTTGTTCTGTTTTAAATAACTTGTGTTAGTTAAAAGCTGGCGTATCGCAGTGCAAAAATCACATTAATGAAATCCCTTAGAACAAATGAATAAACTGAACTTTTCTGTGCTACTTTCTGCTGGAAGCAGATGCCTGGGGGAACAAGCGGGATCACAGAGGAGCCTTCCTCATTGACCGTAGTCCGGAGTATTTTGAACCTATTTTGAACTACTTGCGCCATGGGCAACTCATTGTGAATGATGGCATCAATTTGCTAGGTATGTATTATTGAGCTGGCAGCTTTACAGTATTTTTTTAATTGATGGCATCAATTTGCTAGGTATGTATTACTGAGCTGGCAGCTTTACAGTTTTTTTTAATTATTTATTTACATATTTATTTTATTTTTTTGGTATGTGGTTGTTGCAGCCAAAATCTCATCCACAGAGAAGCCTAAGGAGGCTGACGGATGGTACCTACATAGTGATAAGTGTATTGGTGCTGTTAAATACTGTTGCTTTATTGTCTCTCTTTTTTTGAAAAACGGAGCCAGTGCTTTGCCCAAAATATATTCATGTCTGTTCCACTCATTGAAGGCTGAGCTGGTGGTGGCTTTGGGCTGCCCTTTTCAGACTCGGCCCCCTCGGCGGCTGCAGCTGGGGACCTCTGCGTCCTGTCTCCTAAATTTTATCCAGCCCTTCACATCCCCTGTGCAAAAACAACACCGCTTGTGATGGAAACGCAGCAGTCCTAAATTGGAGAGCTGCGAGACCCTTCGGTCAAGACCTAAATCTCCTTGCCATAGTCTCCAATTACATCCAATCTAAGCCACATACAGTTGACAGTTTTATGAGGGAGTGCCGTTCATATGGGATTGTTAAAAAGGGTTAGAACCCTCTCTTCTGTTTTTCCCCCTTTCGGGGAGAGGTGATGGGGGTGGCTAGAAAATGGAAAGCCTGGTGCAGGAACAGGAGTGACTTGAGGGCCAGAATCCTTGTCGTGATCCAGTGAGGAAAAGATCCAAGTTGAAATCTTTGCCCGGTCACAGGGCCGATGGCACGATTTGGGCAAAATGGCTAATGGTCCAAAGCAGCCAGTTGTGAAGGAGAAAGTTATTGATCTTGCCAGTGCAGGGGGTAAGGCACACACACACGGGCTTGTAATGTGGGTTGATCCTGCACCTTGAGCCAGTCCCATGACATGCACACACCCTCTATCCACCCTACATCACAGGGTGGTTGTTCACATCTCAGAGAGAGAATTCATACCATATAGTCTTGTGAGAATATAATTGCTTCGGTCTCTTGATTTTGGTAGGGAATTTTGGAAGCTCTGGTGTTTCCATCTCCTTACCATGTGCCGTCTGTTTATCTTAATGATAGTTATAACTCTGTCTTAATGTAGATTTTTGATCCTTTACTGTTTGGTTTTGGTCTTCTACGTAGAGAAATTTATAGCTGATAAAAATAAGTTTTAATACGACTCACACCCACCAGGGTGGACCCCCACTCAGCTGCGTTATTAACCACTTGAACTTTCTTTAGATCTTTGTTTCAAGTCCTGTTCAGTACCGAATTATGATTCACACTGGTACTTAAGATTGGTGCCAGAGTAAAAAAAAAATGAGGAGTATTTACTTTGTAGAGGAAGAATTCATACTTGTGACCATGCTTATCATGGTTGTCTTATCATATTTGTATCCCTCTTTTCCACTATTAGGTAGTGCTCAAGGCAGCTTGAGAGCCGGCGTGGTGTAGTGGGTAGGGTGACAGATTAGGACTCGGGAGGTCTGGGTTCAAATCCGTACTCAGTCATGGGATATCACTTGGGGGGTATCAATGCTAAAACCACTCCATAAGTAACTCACATACCTTGAAAACCTTATTAGGGTGGCTGTAATCTGGGTGTGACTGGGCAGCACAAAAGAAATAAGGCAGCCTATAAATATAAAACAAGAAAAATAGATTCAACAGTCAAATTGTTAAAAACAAAACCACAAAACAGTAGAATCAATGTTTTATAGATCTGTTTGGATGCATCTGGAAGCAGACGAAATCATTGCAGTCACTACACGTACTATGAAAACCCCGTTAATAAAACGGTGTCTCCAGACCCTTCCTAAAAACAGCCAGAGTTGAGACGGCGTCTAGCGCTGAGGGAAATGTCTGTTCCGCCACCTGGGATCAATGCATCCGATCCCAGGGGCACGCCCGTCAAGCAGGGCTCAGCAGCTTTTCAGGTTCTCGACAGAACCTCCCCGAATTTCTTTACATCTACAAAAATTTGCAAGGCTCTGTTATTGGGAGTCCGAGTCACAGGTTAAGGAATTAGAGCACGGAGCTTGTGTTAAGATTCGTGGTCCATTCCATCCTTATTTCTTAATGGCTGTAAGCTTGTATTCTTGTCCTGTTTCTTAAAATGCCTGTGATCTTGTGCTAGGAGTCCTCGAAGAAGCCAGGTTCTTTGGGGTTGACTCGTTAATAGAGCATCTTGAAGTCGCCATTAAGGTAATCCTACCTTTTATGCCATTTTCGTTTCTTTTCCCGATAAAAATAGCAACAAGGTCACCTTGGATGTTTTTGCTACGTTTTTCCCTGGAAATGTTTCCATTTCTTAATATCTCTCCCCCCCCCTCCAAAAACTTTTCCCATGATACTTAATTAGTAACAGAATGGATACAGTACCACCCACTGGGAAGCTTTCCCCCTCCCCCAGTTGCTGCGTTTAAGTGGCTGGATGGATAAATAAGCAGCATGTTCAAAGAGCTGAGCTTTGATACTTTTGTATATCAACATTGTGTTACCATTTCTTTCTTCAGTTGTGTGTATTTTATATATACAGTACACACACAACTGATATATACTTTCATATAGTATAAGGAGTCCACACTGTTCAGTTACCTTCTATAGGACCCCCATATCTCCTGTGGGATTGGTTCCAAGCCCCTTCAATAAATGCTGAAAAACACAAATTATAGCAAATAATATTTTAGTAACAAATGCTATACATAGCATAGTCTCTTGCTCCCGCTAGTGGCCAGTTTTGGTAGATTCACCTTTAGAAATATATATTTCTAGAATTTTTTTAAAAAAATATTTACTCTTTTCAGACCATTGATAATTGAATCAGCAGATACAGATCCTGCGGATAAGGGAGTTCTACTGTATATGCAAGTTCAATGTGTAAATAATAATTTGCAGTCAGCATTAGAATATTTTTTTGAATTCAGAGTTTTACCATAAGCTTACATTGCTGAGAATCACCCAGTGGTAGCGATACTGTCTCTTTGCCTCTTCATCCACCATCTTTCCTTTCCCTGCAGAATTCACAGCCTGCTGAAGATCATTCTCCAATCTCCCGAAAGGAATTTGTGAGGTTCTTGCTTGCAACCTCAACCAAATCCGAGCTACGCTGTCAGGTATCAAGGGGAAAAAAAGAGAAAAGAAATAAAAACAGTGGCTTGGTACAGTTCTTCTATATGTTAACCATGTAACATCCAAAATGTGCATGGCAGATTTTTTTTATTATTATCATCATCCCCTTCTCAAAGCCTTCTGTTGCAATCTGGGAGCGAAGTGAATAGAAATATAGAAGTGTAGGAAGAACAGTCACAACACACATGTTTTGGCCACCTTACCTGCGCCAGGATGTCTGTGTTACCACTCAACTGCTGTTTGTTAATGACCACTATAAAGGTTATGATCAATATTTATACTTCTTCCATGTCAGTTCCCCCACATTTCCCATTCACCTAAGCCCATGCATGATACTCTACCAATCGTGGTGATGCTCCATACTTGTGATGAAGTGAGCTGCAGTCGAGAATGTTAATGCCAAACAAGATGGTTAGTTCTTAAGAGGCCACAAGATACTTCAACTCGTTTCAACTTCTTATTGCTTCCTCTTTTTTTCCCCTCCCCCAGGGCTTAAATTTCAGCGGCGCAGATCTCTCTCGTTTAGATCTCCGGTACATCAACTTCAAGATGGCCAACTTGAGCCGATGCAACTTAGCCCATGCCAACTTGTGTTGTGCAAATCTGGAAAGAGCAGATCTTTCTGGATCAGTTCTAGATGTGAGTATTCTCAATGGGACCAAGAATGGGGGAAAGCACTTTGTCTTTAGAATTGTATCTCCTCTTCAATTCATGAGTAGATTTTTGAAGGTGTGAACCCTTTACATGTGACTCAGCTAAGAAGACTATCATGGGTTGACAGCAGTACTTCTACATAATGTTAGTCATGGTAGCTAACTACTAGCCTGAAGTGAAAGATTTACAAAAATAGCTATTTGCTTTAGCCTGTCTTTTTCACATAGAAGATCCAGGGTTTAATCCCTGGTATTTTCAAGTAGGACTGGGAAAGTTCCATGTCTAAATTCCTGGAAAGTTACTGCTTTTCAGTGAAGATCAAATGATAGACCTGTATGATGTAGCTTAAGGCTGTTTTCAGTTTCTTGGGATTTGAGGATGAGACTTTGCCCCCCCCACAAATCCTGCCATGGAACAAACCAGAAATTATCCTTTTCAGCCTCTTTCTTATAAAAAGGAACACAAGATGTGCCCGGCTCGACACTGTTGCTTTCATTTGTTGCATGTGGATGAGAAAGTCTTTGGGGACCCCCTGCCCCTTGAAGCCTCTGGGACACAAATAGGTCTTATTTATTTATTTATTTAAAAATGGGGCCTTAGGAACCCCAAATGCGTAGCCAGCTGCATATAGGCCAAACGTTGCCCAGTCGTGATACAGATAGTACTGAACTGGAAGAACCCATGTTCTCACCTTGTATAAGACGGCTTCCAAAATACTGAGCGAAATACTTTCCTTGTGATCTTCCCTGGCACAATCGCCACACTGGGTTTACATGTTTTTAAAAGTACATAATAGAATAGATGGCTTATAATTTGTCTGCTGGGTTTTTACTTCCAAACTGCAAGGCTAAGCATAGCTAGAACTGAGAGGCAGTGATCGGAGAACATTGCACAGATGCTTTGCTCTCTCTACTACAGTAGGACAAAATTAAATGGCCTCGAAATGCAAATTTTAATTTACGATAAATATTACAAAGGGCGAGCAGACTGAGAGCCAAATTTAGAGACAGTGGTAAGCCAGCATCAAGGAGAACAGAAAGCAGTGTGCTTGTAAATACAGCATTACTAGTAAGTGGTAAGCCAGCATCAAGGAGAACAGAAGTGTGCTTGTAAATACAGCGTTACTAATTTGCACTATGCTTTCATGGGAGTAATTAAACTCACCATGGCCTTTCTGACCATGGTTTGACTGATTTGTCTGTCTCTGATAGGTTTGGAGCTATAACCTAACAACAAACCATGGTTTGCAATGCTGGTTTGTTGGTGGTTCAAGTGGGAGTTCATCTCATTAATGGCAAACTCTAGATGGAATGCCCCATTTATTTGGTCACCTTCAAGAAGTTCCAGACTGGACAGATTGTGGAGCATGGATCATGTCACTGGCTCCTTTAGAATATTGTGACTTACGGATGTAGCCTGTAAGAGTTCAGCAGTGAGAGATTTCGCTGATGAAATATCCCTCTTTGAAGGTCCTTCAGCCAAAGTTGATTGAGAATCTGTGACATGCAGCACATTCACTTCTGGATTGTGATGATACGCTGCATCCCTTCTTAACCTGAATCTGTTTACTTCTCCTTTTCGGCAGTGTGCCAACCTCCAGGGTGTGAAGATGCTTTGTTCTAACGCAGAGGGCGCATCACTGAAAGGGTGCAACTTTGAGGACCCCTCGGGCCTGAAAGCTAACCTGGAAGGTAAATGGGGTGGTGGTGGGCAAACACCTTTTTAACAATGTTTCTTATATGGTGGTGATGAGAAAAACCCTGAAATGGTCTGGAGCAGAGGTCTGCGACCTGGCAGTGGTCTGAAGCCTATCCAGGACCGGGCTGCGGACACCTATCTCCTACCCCCCTCCCCGTGAGCCCCACCCAAGTGCCGTCACACGCATGTGCATGAGCGTGTTCCGCCCCCTTTGCCATGCTGTGCACATGCGTGCAAGCGACCCCCCCAGCGTGATGTGCACGTGAGCTCCGCCTCCCTCCTACAGGCATGCCACGCCCCCCCCCAGCGGTCCACAGTTGGGAAAAGGTTGAGGATCACTGGTCTAGAGAGTAACCCTGAAATGGTCTGGAGCAGAGGTCTGTGACCCGGCAGTGGTCTGAAGCCCATCCAGGACCGGGCTGCGGACACGTATCTCCTACCCCCCCCGTGAGCCCCACCTGAGTGCCATCACACGCATGTGCATGAGCGAGCGTGTTCCGCCCCCTTTGCCATGCTGTGCACATGCGTGCAAGCGACCCCCCCAGCGTGATGTGCACGTGAGCTCCGCCTCCCTCCTACAGGCATGCCACGCCCCCCCCCAGCGGTCCACAGTTGGGAAAAGGTTGAGGATCACTGGTCTAGAGAGTTGCTGAAATCAACACAAGGAGCTCATCAGTTTCATTTGCACAGAGTGAAGATGGTCTTGGATGTTGCTGAGGACAGGCTCATTTCTTAACATGTTTCTTTAGGCAGAAGAATGTGCTACACATTTTACTTTCAAGTTCCAGCTCCTAATATTTATTTATTTTATTTATATCCTGCCGTTCTCCCAATTGAGTGACCCAAAGCAGATATCAGTTTTAACAGTCAGGTTGCAGACGACATTTTACTTTCAAGTTCCAGCTCCTAATATTTATTTATTTCATTTATATCCTGCCGTTCTCCCTATTGTGTGACCCAAAGCAGATATAATATCAGGCTGATGTATCATCATTTTTAACAGTCAGGTAGGAGACAATGGGAAGTATTTCTGCGGTATCTCTGTGAGTGAAAGTTGACAATACTGTACTAGACGGATCAGTCAACTGATCCAACGGGTGGCTTCATCTTCGTAAACCACAATCACAAGCCACTGTTTCTTTTAAAATTCAGTGGCATGACATCTGTTTCAGTGGGGGCATTAAAAATGGTTGAGTCTCACTGAACAGCTGGCCGCTCACCTGCCCTTGTGAAGAGAACCTTTGATTGTGTTCCTTCTGGAATGGAAAAGAGAAGGAAAGGGAATGTCAACTCACCCCATCTGATGCATGACAACGGAAAACAGGAGCTGAAACCACCTTCCCCGAGGAGTCATCTTTATCTTTTCTTTGGACTCCACTTCTCAACCATGTTGGAGGCAGAAAACAAACTCTGCTGTGTTTTCTGGTGGACTCAGCATTCTATGTAACACTTTTTTTTAGGTGCCAACTTGAAAGGCGTAGATATGGAAGGGAGCCAGATGACCGGAATCAACCTGAGAGTTGCAACTCTGAAGAATGCGAAGTTAAAAAACTGTAACCTGAGAGGAGCAACGCTTGCGGGAACTGACTTGGAGGTAAGTTTTCTCTTCTGTTTCAGAGGAGCAGCTGAGAAGCAAAATGAGGACCACCAAGGATTTTGCTCTTTTTCCTCAAACCTGAAGTAACATGTCCTGTTTTCCTGACTTAATATTGAGCCTCATGATATCACTTAGGGTCAAACTTGACATTAAGAGGGTTGCATATCGATCAACCCATGTGTCTTCCTGAAGGAGGATTTGATTGGCAATGCACACAGACTAAGCATCTGTTTACCTCCCGGTGACCAGTCACAAACCAAAGCGCAACCAAATGCAAGAGAAATAGGACGAATGACAAACAGATGTCGTTCACCGCTTAATGGAGCATCTCTTCGAAATACAGGCACAACATATAGGCCAGGCTGCTCTTTGAAACAACTGTGTAAATGTTCTCCATTTATGGAAGTCCTTTCCTATCATGTGACTAATCTCCCAACCAATGTGAAACTGGATATGCAAGGAGGAGCCTACTGAAGTAGGCAGAACATATGCAGTATATGACCACCCTTCCATGATTAGGTTACTCGACAGAATACTAGCCATCGTCTAGTCTTTCCTTCAGAAATGTAAGCTTCAAGCTTACATGTTCTTTGCAACTCCCAGAAGCCTTCACCACTAGCTGTGCTGAGTGGGGTTTCTGGGAGTTGCAGTTCAAAAGCATCCGAGTAACAAAGGTTAAGAACCACTGGTCTAGTCTGTCCTTCAGAAATGTAAGCCTCAAGCTTACATGTTCTTGTAGAGCCAACCTGGGTGGCCTTGGGCAAGCTGCACAGTCCCAGGGCGCCCCCAGTGGAAGGGAAGGGTAAAGCACTTCTGAGTATTCTCTACCTGGAAAACTCTGAAAAGGGTCACCGTAAGTCGGAATTGACTTGATGACACATTATTGTTGTTGTTGTTGTTATTTATTGTTGTTGTTGTTGTTAATATGATGATGATGATTAACTTGTTCTTTCTGTGGTCTAGAATTGTGATCTTTCGGGCTGTGATCTACAAGAAGCCAACCTACGGGGATCGAACGTGAAAGGGGCGATATTTGAAGAGATGCTGACCCCGCTACACATGTCTCAAAGCGTCAGATAGGTGGTCCAGAAGAAGATGACTTCACGCTGCAGGCCATCCTCTCTCTTGACCATAGGAGAGGCAGCCTTTTCCCAACTCGAGTTTCTCAGTGATGCTTCTTGACCATAGGAGAGGCAGCCTTTTCCCGACTCGAGTTTCTCAGTGGTGCCTAAGGAACTACCTCTAGTGACACAGATATGCAACCGTCCCTCTTCCTGGGCATAGGAATAGATGTTGAACTGAATCCTGAAAAATGTCAGGTTTTAGGACTCAGCATTTTTGCTGCCGTTGCCCAAACGTTGCTGACCCTTCTGCACTCACCTCACTCTAGAATGCATCTTTAGGCTTTTGATATTATCATTTTTAAAGCACAATATATATGCAATTTATGTTTATTAAACTTCTGGGTGCAGCGTAGAACTTTTTAAATGTGCTAGTAGCAAAACCTCAGACGTGCAGCAGAAGTTCAAGGGTTGATTTTATTCATGAGGACCAAGCGAATGGTGCGCGTAATACATCCACTGTTAAGATTTCTTTTGAGAACAAGAGCTGCTCACGAAAAGACCATCAGGGGTAGGGTAGATGCTCCTTCTGTGACCTTAAATGCCATTATTCCAAATTTTTATATAAGTGAATGGGGTGTGTGTCTGTGTGTGTGTGTTTACCTGGAGACCTTAACAAAAGAGAGGTGGCAACGGCGAGAACTGCCTTTGAGACAGTTTGTGCACTTAGCCTGCAGGTTGCCGATGCTTGGTTTAGGAAATTGATTCTGGTTTGTTCATCAAGCAATGGAAGGTCTTGATTCCGTGCTCGGTTTTTAAAGCTCCCCATTGCTTTACTATATTGTAGCCCCAAATCTGCTTTTTAATGTTGCTTAGCAAGACTTGACTCCTGCCGCTCGGTTTCTTTTGTTCAATGCGAGTGTGTCTCCCGATAGGGAGGGACCAGAGACACTTGAGTAACTAGGCTTAAAGTACCTGTTTACAAAGATACCTGTGAAGTCTGGCCAGCAGAATCTTTTACCTGGGGCAAAATAGGTAGCAAAGAAGACTAAAGTGTAAGCAGCGAATTCCCCATCCATCATCACCTCCATACAGGTCATCACTTCGATTTTAACCAGTGTCTATCCCCGTTATCCTTTTCCTCTTCTTTGTCATCTTTCTCCACCTTCATAAGTGTTCTAGGTGTGAGAAGAATAAAATCACCACAGAGGGGGGGCAGGTATCCAGTAGACAGATGTGTCCCTTTGAAAACCAATTGGGGTTTTCTCTTGAGAGTCCCCTGGACTGCAAGGAAGAGATTCACTTCGATTTTAACCAGTGTCTATCCCCGTTATCCTTTTCCTCTTCTTTGTCATCTTTCTCCACCTTCATAAGTGTTCTAGGTGTGAGAAGAATAAAATCACCACAGAGGGGGGGCAGGTATCCAGTAGACAGATGTGTCCCTTTGAAAACCAATTGGGGTTTTCTCTTGAGAGTCCCCTGGACTGCAAGGAGGAGATCAAACTTATTCATTCTTGAAGGAAATCAACCCCAAGTGTTCACTGGAAGGACAGATCCTGGAGCTGAGGCTCCAATCCTTTGGTCATCTCATGAGAAGAGAAGAATCCCTGGAAAAGACCCTGATCTTGGGAAAATGTGAAGGCAAGAGGAGAAGGGGACAACAGAGGATGAGATGGTTGGACAGTGTCACTGAAGCGACCAACATGAATTTGACCCAACTCCAGTGGGAGGCAGTGGAAGACAGGAGGGCCTGGTGTGCTCTGGTCCACAGGGTCATGAAAGTCGGACACGACTAAACAAGACACATACACAAATCTTGTGTATGTACTTTAAAGTCCTCCCCTGTTGCTCTGCCTCTTACATTGCTGATTGCCCCACTAGAGGTCTCCTTGACAACTGGAAAAGAAGACCAAGGATTGGGTAGTAGTGTTACCATCATCAAAGTTTTTGGGTGTTAAGGATATATAAGCAATACTGCCAGTTTCAGCAGAAGCAAGTGAGGCCTGCAAAAGCAGACAATGGAATGGGCGCATGATAACCCCCCTCCCCCCGGAAGAATGGTACAGACACCCTAACTTATGCAACTAGGTAGCTGCTGTTATGAAACCAAAGCCTTAAGAAACTTTTCTCTTGGGGTGAGCAGAACCACCATGGTTTTTGAATAGGTATGGATCTATGCAGCTTTCAGTTCCAAAGACCCTTTCGCCTGGATTAAGATGATGTACTGAATTTCAGGTGGAAGACGCAAGCGCTGGGCTGTTCCTTCACCCAGGATAACCTTGCTATGCTGGAATACTTTCTGCCGTCAGCTGATGCAAAAGCCGTTTCTGTGTCAAGCAAAAGGAACTATATAGAAACATCAGCACTGCCCAATAAAACCAAGTGTCAAGAAAACAATTAAGATACCTATTTTTGTACAGTTAGATCCCCTTATCCACAGAATCAGTATCTGGTGATTCACTTATCTGCCGGCTGAAAATACTAAATAATAAAACCCAGAAATATCTATATTTCCAGGGTGTATTTACCAGTGCTGGCCACTAGAAGGAGCTAGAGACTATGCAATGCCAAGTGAATACAGTCCTTTTATATATTGTCAACACTACGAATTTATAAATAACAGTTGTAGAGCTGCAGAGTAGACCAGTGGTTCTTAGCTGATGGTCCTGCAGATATTTTACACCTCACCTCTCAGATGCCCCAGCTATCATGGCCATTATTGAGGGATTCTGGGAGCTGAAATCAAAACTTCTGGAGTCCCAGGTTTGGAAGAGACTACAGTGGACCCTTGACTTACAGACGGCTTGACTTACAGACTTTTTGACTTGAGAACCGCCTTCCAATACGGATTAAGTTCTCAAGTCAAGACCCCACTGTACACCCCCTTTTTAAGAACAATGAATCCAGGCAACCACATATGTGCACAATTGATGAATTGGGCTCTGCCTCCTTTGGCCATGTCTTTTGCAGTTGTGTTAAGACTGCAACTCTCATAATTCCATGGGCAAGTTGGAGGGGGGGGACAGCAAGCCCATTCCACATAATCGGCCATTGCTTGTGGCAATGTGTGTACACATCACGTGATGAATGTGCTTATCTTTGTCTCATGTACACAGATTGTCAGATGTGGCTACCAGCTCTTCTCTATACACACATCTTTTCGGGTGCCACAGGTGTGACCATATACTGTATATGCTGATTCCTTAGTAGAAGCAAGCATCCTAGCAAGATTAGGGAAGTGGGCACTCTTGAAGCAAATTTTTAATTCAATGCATACAAATCAATTAATTTCTGTCCCATCCAAACAGACTCCCAGGAAGCTAATGTTGCTGGGTTTTTAACAATGAAATTGATTCCCCTGGCATCTAGAACTTCTGTTTCCTGCTGTAGAAGCGTTGGCCATCAATGCTTTGAAAAGCTTCCTTCCGCTTTGCTGGGTTTTTTTATTATTATTATTATTTTGAAAAGTAACAATCATAACTCTGCTTGCTGCAATTTTGGATTGCTTCAACCATTCTCAGGAACCATGAATGTAAACATGTGGATTTTGATGAGGGTGTGGCGATAGGATGCAGGCGTCTCGAAGCATCTCCTTTGGGCTGACTATGTCATGGTGCAAGTGAGGCTGCTAAAGTGGGGAAAACACAGGTATTTACTCAAGAGAACTAGTATTATTTAAAGGCACTGCTTTTAAGGTACCACAACACCTCCAGAAATATTTAACATTGGCTTTTGTTTAGCTATTTTTTTTTCTTTGTCTTACTGTGTGTTTGTATCAGACAGGAGTAAGAGCTTTTACCAAACAAGTTTATTTTCTTACCTTTCTATGTATTAATTATATGCATTTCACCAAAGTCCTGTATCTTGAATCAACCCCAATGTGGCTCACCTTGTGCATCGGGAGTCCTCCTCCAGGGCGTTAGGGCAGTCTCGGCAAACCTCTTCAGAGAGAGGAAGCCGTGCTCTGCTGTACAGCTGCACCAATAAAGAATATCAAATGCTAACAAGGATGACTCGGCTGTTGATTGGGAAAAGGTCCCCACCATGTTCTGCTGGAAATTTGATCACAAGAGATACAACCATGGGATGATGAAGTGGTGTCTCCAAATCTGAAGGTCTTCAGGGGCTGCTTTAAGCATATCTCGCCCTCCTGAGCTGATGGGGACCTCTGGATGTGTTTTTAGTTGGACATTGTTGGATGTTTTGACTGCTACAGTGGTGCCTCGCTTAATGATTACCTTGTTAAATGATGAAACCGCTTTACAATGAAGTTTTTGTGATCGCAAAATGATGTTCCTATGGGGGGGAAATCGCTTAATGATGATCGGTTCCCTGCTTCGGGAACAATTTTTTTGCTAGACAACCATTTTAAAACAGCTGATCGGCAGCTCTAAAATGGCCGCCTGCTGTGCAAAATGGCTCCCTGCTGTGCTTTAGGATGGATTCCTCACTTTACAGGCACCGTAAAATGGCCGCCCTATGGAGGAGCTTCGCAAAACGAGCAGGTATTTCACCCATTGGAATGCATTGAATCGGTTTTCAATGCATTTCAATGGTTTTTTAAATTTCACTTGACGAGGATTTCGCTTAACAGCAATTTGAATGGAACGAATTATCCTTGTCAAGCGAGGCACCACTGTATTTGCTAATAGTTGTGCTTCCGTTCTTATTAGCCTTCAGCAGCATAGCTGGTGTTGGACCTAAAGAGTAGAAACATCTGGAGGACCACACATATCCCTTGACTGGGTTTTGTCTACTTCAACGTGAGAGATGAGATACGTTCAACAAATATGCATACCCCGTAGCTTAGAGAGCACTTATTGCTGATGGATAACAGTTGTTCTGCATCACGTAAAGAACTGACCCTTTCAGATATATGCAAACAATGCCATAGTAATTGCAAAGTGAGCTTGACGTTCAAGAGCCTGAGGAGACAGATGGCCAGAAGCGCTAAGTGCCAAGCTGATGTATCCATCAGCAAACCTATTCCAAGGCCATGGGGATGTTCTCAAGCAGCTTGTGATAACTGCCGCCACCCACCTCCCCAGAGGCCTGAGAAAGGATTGTGTGTTAACCCTGCCTGATCAGGAAAGCTCAAATAAGTCTCTGG